AGTTCTCTCACACCCCTACTAAACTTCACTTCGGGCATACTCTATCGTAGACAGGTTTCTACACTTTCCTTGTAGCTTGACTTGGAGCAGCTGGATGCTGCGTCTTCTGCATCGCCGTTACACTCAATCTATGAAAGAGACAGCTTAGCCTCGGCCTCGCACAGTTGTTGTCGAAAGGCGGCTTCCCTTACCTCACATTATAATCTGTCTATCCCTCAATAACCGTAGTTCTATTTCTGCCTTTTTCATTGCAGACCTCGTGCTGCGGTGTGATCCCGCCAAGGATGGCGCATCACTCGAGCCCTTGATGATGGTGTTTTCTTCACCTTCTTTCTCTCCGGAGGAGGATAGTCTGACTAAGGTTGATTGACCAGGTTGACAGGAAATTGCAATTAATTTAGGCAAAGAAGAAAAATGTAGAAGAGCTCACCGAACGTAATTTTACCAAGGTTTCAAACTGTAACGGCAATCTGAACAACGTTCAATATGAATCGCAATATCACGACTTCGACTGACCAACTTTTCAGCACGTAGGAAAACAGTTGAACGACAGTTGAAATTTCGTTGCCATTATAGGCATGCATCAAGGCATATTTGCGACTTACGAAACCGTCGTAGGTCCCAGTTACAGAGCGACGAACAATTGAGAAAATCACGGAGCGAGACCGCAACGATACCGAGCGGGTAAGGAGGAGACTGGTTAAAAAACTTAAACGTTGAGTTCATAAGAGAGAGAGAAGAGATAATAAAAGGAAGGTAATGGAATTAGAAAAGTATTGTGTACAAAAGCTTTCGAAAACCGTCACAAGGGAAGCCGTATAGGCAGCGACTGCAGGACCTTGGACTCTTTTCCTTGGAAAGAAGAAGATTCCGAGGTGACTCGATAGAGACATGCAAAATTATGAATGGTTTATCAGGGACGGATCAGTGTTTTTCGAGAGGATGCAAATCAATACTAAGGGGTACATATACAAGCTTAAGAAAGTGCTCGCGAGACTAGCTGTGCCTTCAACCTTCTTCAGCAACAGGATTGTCAACTGATGGAATGAGTTACCACAGAAACTGGCGGAGTAGGGGAGCGCACATGCTTTCATGAAGGAGCTCAATAAGCGCTGGTTGAACTTATTTCCCGAAGTATACCCATAGGTTAAGGTCTAGAAACAGTAGTTGGTTTTGAAATTTACTAACCACATTAACAGGGAAACGCTTCCAAATGTGAAGTCCCTCGCCTGAACAAGAGAAGNAGAGAAGATTTTTTTCCTTCTTGCATTGCAGAGGCGGACACGACTTGGACGAGAAGAAAGTGTGTGGAGCTATGTCATAGAAAACTCTCAGTGGTAGAGGTAAACACGTGGCTTACTACCGAAGGAACTATGGACGCTTGCTTGGCTGTGGCCATCTCCTGTCCTGTGGAAACTGACGGACTGGATGCTTTCGGCTCATGAGCATATCTTAATGTGTGTGCTGAAAGGTGAACACAAGAGACGTGGAGTCTGGTGAATGGAAGAGCACCAGGGCAACTCGGACTATAGACCATAGCTTACCGCCAATCTGCTGAACCGGGGACGCCTTGGAATGCGTTTACCTACCATGCCACCCACTTTACCTAACCTAATGCTTAATCCCATATATTTTCCACAAACGTGTTTTTCACCATCCCGGATATGCCCAAATACCCGCAAAATTAGAAAAGCTTTTAAGGCATAGCATAGCCTCGTCCCAATAATCCGCTCAGCTGAGTGCAAACATAGACTGCAGGCATTCTTTCTATTTTCTTTTTCTGCAGGCATTCATATTTAGACTTGTACTGTATCAACTACAGAGGTTTAGTGACTCGATGGTTGCTGATATTCGTCAGAACCTGTCACTAATGTTTACTCACGTCCGTTTTGAATATTCGTCCCAAATGGAAACAGAACCAGAGATTGCGTTTATTGAAAACAATATATTCTGAGGTCTTCAGAAGGGTTGTAAGTAGATTTAGCTAGGTCTAGGCTGATATTTAAGCAACGGCAGCGGAAACCTGAAAGTAGATCTGATCAGTGCAACGAAAGCGTGCGATACAGAGCTCACCGTGGGGAATTGTGTCGGTGCACGCTTTTCGAGTTCATTAAAAGAACCCTAATAGTTGAAGTAAAACTTAATCCTGGAAATGTCCAAGTTGCTTTATCCAATAGAGGAACTTTCCTCAGAGTATAGCTATCGCCAACTAGTGGCAATGACTGCTAAATCTCGACGGTACACTTGATTGTGTCCGGTGGATAAGGGTCCTTAAAGGAAGAAGGGAAAAACCTGACGGTATTTTAACTACCTGATCGATAGCTCAGTCGCTACTTGATTTCTGAACCTTAATTGTTCTGATAGGTACTCCATGGTTATGTACCATGCCTTGATAGTCCTCAATTATACAGGACTGGTTAGAAACTGAACGTATCCTGCTNCTAGGCTGATATTTAAGCAACGGCAGCGGAAACCTGAAAGTAGATCTGATCAGTGCAACGAAAGCGTGCGATACAGAGCTCACCGTGGGGAATTGTGTCGGTGCACGCTTTTCGAGTTCATTAAAAGAACCCTAATAGTTGAAGTAAAACTTAATCCTGGAAATGTCCAAGTTGCTTTATCCAATAGAGGAACTTTCCTCAGAGTATAGCTATCGCCAACTAGTGGCAATGACTGCTAAATCTCGACGGTACACTTGATTGTGTCCGGTGGATAAGGGTCCTTAAAGGAAGAAGGGAAAAACCTGACGGTATTTTAACTACCTGATCGATAGCTCAGTCGCTACTTGATTTCTGAACCTTAATTGTTCTGATAGGTACTCCATGGTTATGTACCATGCCTTGATAGTCCTCAATTATACAGGACTGGTTAGAAACTGAACGTATCCTGCTGTTGGTCACCAGCGTAGGGTGAAAGTACTTCTGGTAGTCTTGAAGTCTTGAAGTGATTCACGGGTTCGAGGCTGTTGCCCAAATGTCCCGGGTCCTTGAAAGGTATCTGTGTTTTCTTTTGGTTTGAATTACCTCATGCACTAATATACAGGGCAGAGAAACGCTAAGGTACGTGAATTGATGATCACGTCCAGCTTGAATGGATCTATCAAGAAGCTTAGAGAAAACAAGAGGTAAGAAAAGAAAACTGCCGTTGCGAAACTGTCGGTTGAAGGACGGCTACAGAAGTTGCCCCTGAATCCAAAGGTGTGCAATCGGTATAGGGGAGCCAAAATTTGGCTCACATCGAATTCTTTTTTTCGAAACACACGTAGGCAAACGATACACTTACGGTGCAAGAACCTTGACTCAAACTGGAATCAGCCGCAAGTCGTGTGACTCGACCTGACCTGACGGACTAACCTGGGTTTTCCGGGTTATGGTGTCCTAGAGGATTCTTCATTGTCGAGGCACGCATAGGCAAAAAACCCTCTCATTGTTGAAGAACCTAGACTCAAATTGGCACCAACCGCAAGTTCCTTGACATGGGCGGTTTTAATGCGCTATTCATCTCAACTTTTTAGATGACCTCTGTGAAACCGGTGTCACAATTCGTTGGTGCCTCGTTTTCAACCTTCGGTGACGAGTTGTGTTTCTTCCCAAGCATCGAGGAGTGGTACATCTTGAGGATTTCTTATAAATACTTATTTGATACTGAAATAAGTTTTATTCTCTGATCAATTAAAAAATTTACTTTCCGCAGAAAGTAAATGTGACAGGTATTGGGAAAAGATACATAGGTCGTTATATGTTATAAAATATGTGAAGTGACTTTTCACTATGATATCTTGCTTCAAAGTGTGGAAAATGCCATGGGAAACTATGGTGACCCATGGGCTGATCCGTGAAATGCTAACTTATTTGGCGTCATCTCATGTGATTCAGTTTGGACAAGACGGAAGTGGTCGAGACCAATCGTTAGTAAACTTTGACTATAGTCCGTAGATATTAGCAGTGAGGTTTTTCCTTCTGTAAAGGTATGTTTTTTNTTAGTAAACTTTGACTATAGTCCGTAGATATTAGCAGTGAGGTTTTTCCTTCTGTAAAGGTATGTTTTTTGAAGTATAATGGTAATCATGTAGGGCATTACCGGAGCTCTAGGATTCTCGTCTTCGAAGCCCATAAGTAGGAATAAAACTGTCCGATTTATCTGGGTTTCGTATACTTCAATTTCCATCATAAAATGTCGAAATGATATGGTTGTTTTGCCACGAAACTTTGGAGGGCTTTTTCAAAGTTTGGCACTGTACTACTGTTTAACGTTGAAAGCAATGATTACAAACTCGTCTTTTGGTTCACTCTAGGGAAAACTGATAGTATCAAAAAGTTGAATTCTAGATGTACGTTGGCGTTTCAGCTGGAGCGTTTTAATCTGTTCCACCCACTGTAAATTGGCGGCAGCTGGAACCGAATAATTAATAATCAGATCCTGAGTGAATAGCTAGTCATGGAGCCCACGGTTGAAGAAACGCTACATCAGCCTCCCCCTGGAAGGGTGGTGATAAGCAAACTTCGACCAGACAGCCGAGATACTGA